AATGAAACTCGCGCGTGATGCGAATTCTGTAATTTATATTTGTCGAGAACGCGAATATAAATTACAACACCAAGAGCGGTTTGCGACGCGTCCGAGAATTCATGCAGTTTAACTGCTGTTGAAGTCGAGGAAGTTCCGAGCCATCGAGGTAGTGGAGCGGAAGTGAATTCGAGCTCTTCCTCAAATTCCTTTTATTGTTGAGCATCGGTATCTCGGAAAGCGGATCGTCTCAGTCAAGGTTGAGCTTTCAGAGGTTCTGTAGAAACGTTTTCGGCACGATAGTGATAAGCGTGATCCATTTGAGCGGATCAAAGATTTGCATGATTCTTAAGAGCACAGGTACGTTTTGTAATGATTGAAGAGTTAGAAGATGAAAAGCGCGGGCTTATAAGGAAGCGGTCGGATGATGGATTCTACGACAGCCCGAGAGTGTGTGTGAACGGCTCAGAATGAAAATCTTTCGTCGTTGCTGTAGTTTGACGATGAGCGTTGATGCCAACAATGATTTCAGGTTCGTTAGATGTCCATTTGTGGAGAAAAACCGCCCGCTATGAGGAGTTGATTGACCTACACAGCTTTGAATTGAGCGAGATCGATGATATCAGCTCCCGAAAGTACGTCGTCTATGTACATTTCGTGCTGTATTACGTATACAACGAGCGAGTAACGTGAACTCGGAGATACGGAGCGCAAGCAAGATCGTACGTTACGGTATTAAGCTGGTATTCCACCAACGGTCCTGACACGCTCCGGAGAATTTTTTGAAAACGCCGATCGTTCAGATGCATGTTAATTTGATGGTACCTTTTAGAAATATCGGCGTTGAAGAGTACGGATAAATCCATAAAAAGACCTTTCACATTTTATGGGCACTTTATCATTAGTGGAAGAGAATTGAGATATTAGGGCTGACGTTGCGACGAACTGGCGTAACGTTATTTATAGATGGTGCAAATGTAAAAGCGCTGACGTTTGGCAGCTTTGTATCCTCGCGGAAAATCTCTCATAAACGGAGAGAAACATCTTTTTTTTTAATTGCAACACATTGGCGCCAACGTTCGGCTGCCTTACTCCTCCACACATAAAACGGCAACGCGACATGGGAAACTATTTTTGAGATACGCCAAATGCTAAACAAGAATACAGAATTGGGTGAAATACATATAAGGAGGATGAGAGCGCGTCAAGTCATAGTACGATTTGAGAATGCATAGATGCAGTGGTAAAAAAATTTAGTGATTACTTTTTTGCGTCAGTGGCATAATAGTGATTAAAAAAAGAAAAAAACATGGAAAACGCAGAGTATATTGAGCGCAATTTATTGGAGCGGTTCCGCCAAGTCGCCACCTTGGGCGAATTTTTTGAATGGTTGCAACAGTGCGACGAATTTATCGCACATCTTAAAGAATGCAGTCGTGTCAAGTGTCCGCGACTCTCGATTGGACATAGACAATCTATGGTGGCTAGAATAGTGCGACTCGAGGGTGTAAAGGTACGCTTGCAGAGACGATATATGTGTATTGGTGGTAAATACAGTGGCGGTGGCAATATCGACGGCAACAATAACGCACAAAGACTCGTTTGACGCGAAATCGATACGGCGTTCGAGAGTCGTATACTGACCAATGCGGTAATTAATGCAGACTATATCGAACCGCGACAATTTTTGGAAAATGCTAAAGACATTGTAATTGAGAACATGCAAAATGTGTTGCAAAGACACATCAGTGTAAAAGTGAACACCGTATTCAACGGCGAGTTTGTATCTGGCGATAAGCGTGCCAATAAATGTATCAATACGAGAAACTTTGAACGTCTGATTACCGCATGTGGTACGAGCGCCGCGTTATCGAGCCCACGCTATCTAGCATTGCTAGAAGAGTTCCAGGAACGCGACAGCGGCTGGGCATTGTCGCGGATAATAGATTTGACAGTGAATATCAACAAGTACAATCCAATGCGTGCGGGATGCCATGTCAAATTACCGCGAAAAATTGTGACAAAAAGAGCGGTGGTTAATGTGCGATCAGCGGACAATGCGTGTTTTGCATGGTCAGTGGTGGCCGCTCTTTATCTTGCTGAAAGAGACATGGATCGAGAATCCTCCTATCCGCATTACACAACAGTGCTGAATCTCCAGAACATTGAGTTTCCAGTGGCTGTGATCAAATTAAAAAGTTTGAACTTGCAAACGACATCTCCGTAAATGTATACAGCATCGAGAACGACATTGTCCCGTTACGTCTTTCAGAGAAAAAAAAAGACAAACGTCAATTTGCTGTACATGCAAGACGAAAACAGCGTTGGACATTTCGCTTGGATAAAGAATTTATCTTGATTTGTCAGTGCGCAACTGAGTAGAAAGAAATGTAGAAGATATATCTGTGATCGGTACGTATATATTTATTTGTTCGCGAGCGGACTTGTAGCGCGAGTGAGGCGCAGTGAGGAGAGAGAATTTTACGAAAGTTAGATAGGGCGACTGCCCAACAAATAAATTGAGTCGGTCTCAAGATAACTTGCACCTTTATTCTCACTACTCGGCTAACGCAAGCGATTATAACAATTATTCCGATTCCGGAGTTAATAATTATTATGCCCCGACGCTTCTCGCCGGCGAAAATCGTATCAGAAATCAAATCGATGTCCAAAGGGTAGTCGTGTCCGTAATAATTTTCGCGTGTACAAATTCTCGTTTATCTCGTCAATTATCGAAAGGCGACTGCGAATCGCGCTCGACTTTTACGCCTTATAAGGACACTGATCCTTCTAGAAAGATCAGGCGGGAAAAACAATCCGACAACAAATTCTGTTATTTGGATCTTTCTAGAAGGAACGAAAAGGTACGTGTTAAACAAATATTTATCACGGCTAGCGGTATACAATGGCCCAAACGGACGCGTTCGCTGGCCGCAGCGCAACGCGGCTTAGTGACAGCCGTCTCTCTCTTTCCCGCTAGCGCGCGTTGGCTCGCAGCTAGAGCGGGAAAGAGAGAGACACTATTTCGTGCTCTTGTCCTTTTTTTCGCGCTGATCAGAACATCCCGCCCGCCTTGCCCGAGCTTCCTAGGGCGACATGCATGTGCACCCCGGCGAGAGAACTGCTCGAAACGCTAATCGGCCGGGTGAACTGCGAAGCCGCAGTCCGGACGGTGACTACGCGGGTTTGTCCATCCTCGCCAGGATGAACTCGGATGATGCGCGTGAATGGCCAATGCGTTGGCGGAGTGTTCTCGTTCCTGATGAGGCACAGCCGTCCAAGGCTGTAGTCGTCGATGCTCCTGAGCCACTTCGGCCGATGGACGAGTGAGTGTAAATACTCGCGAGACCATCGATCCCAGAAGTGGTCCCTCATTTTCTGCAGGAGCTGCCAACGAGTCAGGCGGTTGTCCGGAACGTCCAGGAGCGGCGGTTCGGGCACAGCGGTCAACGGCGTGCCCACCAAGAAGTGTCCGGGCGTCAGGGCAAACAGGTCTTCAGGGTCGTCGGACAAGGCCTGAAGCGGTCGGGAGTTCAGGCAAGCCTCCACCTGAGCGAGGAGAGTGGCCCTCTCCTCAAAGGTCAACGTAGCGTCCCCCAGCACCCGCCTCAAGTGATGCTTAAGGGACTTCACGGCGGCCTCCCAGATACCGCCAAAATGCGGTGCGGACGGGGGGTTGAACAGCTACTGGATCCGATCGCTGGCTAAATGTCCGATGACCCGGCGCAGCTCAGCACTACTGGCCGCAAAGAAGGCTCGCAGCTGGGCATCAGCGCCTACGAAATTTGTCCCGCAGTCGCTCCGGATTGTGCGACAAAGACCACGACGGGACACGAATCGTCGTAAGGCCGCCAGGAAGGCGTCGGCGGTGTAGTCCGACACCGCCTCGAGGTGGACGGCTCTCGTGGACAGGCAGACAAACACGGCGATAAAAGCCTTGTAAGACCGCTGACCGCGTCCTCGGCTGGTTTGTAGTTGAACAGGGCCGGCGTAATCAACGCCGGTGTTCAGAAAGGGGCGAGCGGGAGTCATCCGCTCCCTCGGTAGGCTCCCCATCAGCTGTTGCGGAGTCGCCGCTCGTCATCGCACGCAGGTAACGCAACGGCGCAATCACAGCTTCACGACTGCTCGGCCTCGTGGGATCCAGTAGAGTTGCTGGACCATCCCTAGGGTCAGCTGAACGCCGCCGTGCAACGAGCGTCGGTGGCAGGACTCCACCACCAGACGGGCGAGGTGCGAATTTCCTGGCAGGATGACCGGATGTCGCTCATTGTACGCGAGGAGCGCGTGCTTGAGACGGCCGCCCACTCGCAGCAGTCCTTGTAAATCTACAAATGGGTTCAAGCGTAGCAGTGGGTTGGAAGAGGGAAGAGGAAGGTGACTCCGAAGGGCGGTAAACTCGGCCTTTAATGTCCTGCTTGGACTTGCAGGATCCAGGTCAGCCTGGCCTCCTCCAGCTCGGCCGCCGTCAGCTCAGGTCCAGAGGTCGGTACGCGGGGAAGCTATCGTCGGCACCAGGCAGTCAATTGCAACATGCGGTTGAGTGATGAGCATCGTCGGAGCTCGTCAGGCTCCTCCACCGAAACAGGCACAGTCCTAGTGGCGTTGATCCCTGTCCTCTTTTCCGGCCAGTCGTCGTAGACAGGCCCAGGGTCCTCGCCGGGCCAAGACGATGGCTCCGCCTGGAGCCAGGAAGGACCTCGCCACCAGAGAGGATGTGTCAACAACTCTTCAGGCGACAGCCCGTGGGAGGCACAGTCGGCAAGGTTGTCCTGGCTAGAAACATGGTGCCATCGAGCGTCAGGCACCATGGTCTGGATCTCGGACACGCGGTTGGCCACAAAGGTCTTCCACCGGTTAGGATGACCTCGGATCCACCCCAGGGTGACTGTGAAGTCCGACCATAGGTGGATGGTAATCCGAGAGAGGCCAAGCGTAGAGCAAGCGTGGAGGGTGAGCCTGGCCAGGAGCGCCGTGGCACACAACTCGAGCCGTGGCAGAGTCACTGGTTTTACTGGCGCGACCTTGGTTTTGGCCGTCACCAGTCGCGCGTGCCAGGAACCGTTGTCTCCGGTCCGGATGTAGAGCACCGCGGCGTAGGTACGCTCCGAGGCGTCGGCAAAGCCGTGAAGCTCGACGTAGTCGTCAGGCGGGCCGATCTCCAGTCACCGCGGCACTCGAAGGCTCTCGAGCAGCGGAAGCTCCTGCGCGTAGGCGTGCCACTGCCGCTCGGCCGCCTCTCCCAGCGGGTCGTCCCATCCCAGACCCCGCAGCCAGGTTGACTGGAAGGAGATCTTGGCCCTCACTATCACAGGCGCTAACCAGCCGAGGGGGTCGAAGAGGCGCGCGGTGAAAGAGAGTACCGATCTCTTCGTGACGTCCTTCAGGGTGGTAGCTAGAACAGAAAAAGAAAATTCGTCTGTGGCGGGATGCCACCGCAGTCCCAGAGTGCCATGCGTCTCGTGAGGCCGCCAATCACGCAGAGCCCGCTGCATGAGATGCTTAGCCGGAACGCTCTTCAAGATTCTAGGATCGTTTGCCGATCACTTGCGCAGGGGGAAGCCGCCCGCCATGCACAGTCCGGTCAGCTGCCGTTGTAGCTCGCAAGCTTCCTCCAAGGTCGAGGCACCAGTCAATATATCGTCCATGTACACTTTTCCGCGTAGAACTCAAGAGCCCAAGGGGAAGCTCTCCGCCTCATCGTCGGCAAGCTGGCGAAAAGTGCGCATGGCCAGGAACGGCGCACACGCTAGCCCGTATGTGACGGTGTTCAACCGATAGTCGCTCACCTCGTCCTGGGAATTGTACCGCCACAAGATTCGCTGAAGATCCCGGTCCTCAGGGTGAATCAGAATCTAACGATACATTTTTTCCACGTCCGTGGCCAGAACGTAGCGGTGAAGTCGCCATCGAAGGAGCATCTCGGCGAGAGGAGGCAGCAGGTTCTGGCTCACCAGGAGGCTCCGGTTAAGAGAGTCGCCGGAGATGGTCGTCGTGAAGCCATTGAAGACTACGCGCAGCTTAGTCGTCGAACTCGCCTTGCGCAGAATTCCGTGGTGAGGCAGGTAGTTGACGTGTTTCCCCTTCGCGGTGTCAGCACGGGTCATATGGTCCAAGGCCTTGTACTCCCTCAGAAAATCGACGTAGAGTCGGTGCAGTCGGTCGTCACGCGCAAACCGTCCTTCTATGCCGACAAGACAGCGTAAGGCGGCGCGCTTCGTGGTAGCAAGGTCTGGCAGTGAAGCAACCACTGGTAGCCGCACGACGTAGCGGCCGTCTGCTTGTCGGCTGTGTGTCGTCCGGTACAGGTCCTCACACTCCTGTTCGGCGAGAGTGAGAGGCGCTAAGCCGGCAGGCAGTTCCTCCTGCTGCCAGAAGTTCTTCACCAGGCAGGTAAGGTCATCATTCCTCTTGCATTGTATTGTTAGCGCGCGGGCGGGAGGCTCGGCCGAGCCGACTGGCCCGGAGAGTATCCACCCTAAAGTTGTCTCTTGGGCGCCAGGTTGACCACGGCCGCCTTTCCTCAATTCCGGTTCGAGGATGGTGATGTAGACATCGGCTCCGAGGAGGATGTCCACCGGGTCTGCTGCTAAGAAGTCCTGGTCGGCCAGAATCAGGCCCGTGAGATGAGGCCATGCGCTCGCATCCGCCTGTATGCTGCGGTCCTACAGCGTCAGTCGGGGGAAGACCAACGTCGGAACGGTCAGCGGCGAGCCACCACCCTAGGTGAGATCCTAAGGTCTATACGGCCTCGCGTTACTCCAGCCTTAATCTCACCGATTCCGTATATCGTCATGGGCGACGATACGCGAGGCAGTCGTAGCCGTTGAGCGAAGGCCTCCGACACCAACGACGTCTCCGCTCCCTAGTCGATCAGCGCCCGCACGATGTGATCGACGCCGTGGCGATCCATTACGCGAACGCGAGCGGTAGCCAGCAGCTCGGCCGTTGGGACCGTTGTCTGCGGCTTGGAAAAATTGACCTTGACAGCCACGGCTGCGGCGTAGGCATCGTGCAAGGTCGAGTGGTGACGCTCGTTGCACGATAGACATGTCTTCTGAGAAGGACACGCGGTCAGCTTATGCTTCCCGAGGCAGTTCACGCACAAATCAAGCGACGTTGCGTACTGCTTCCGTTCGGCCGCCGTCTTGGCGAGGTACGCGTCGCACTGGCGCAAGTAGTGCTCTTGGTTGCACAGAAAGCAGCGGCCTTGCTGGCTTTCCTGCTTGCGCACTTGCAACGCGTTTTTTGACCGGTTTGAACTCGAGCTAGCCCTCGCCGGGCTAGCTTCACTCTTCAGGGGCGCTAGCGACTCGAGGGTGCGCATCCTCTCCTTCACGAAAACGAGCAGCTCTTCGAGCGACGGCGGCTCCGTCGTCCGACTAAACTGCGTCTCCCATTCTTGTCGCGACACCGGATCAAAAAGTTCTGTAATGATCTGAACGCACAGATCGTCACTACGCGTCAAGGGGCGACCGATCTCCTCTAAAGACCCGACGGTGGTCTGAACGTAGTGATAGATTTTTCGTAGCTCCGCAGCGGATTCACCCTTCATTTTTCGCAGCAATACGAGCTTTGCGATGTATGATCTCACCAGAAGCCTCCGGTTCTCGTAATGCTCTGTCAAGGCCGCCCAGGTGCGATCAAAGTTGGAGTCGGTTGTTGGCAATTGGCAAATCACCTGCTCAGCCTTTCCCTTGAGGCTGGTCTTCAGGTAGTGGAGTTTCTCCACCGGCGACGCGGCCCGATTACTAATCACGAGTGAAGTGAAGAGATCGCGAAAGGCTGGCCAATCTTCATACCGTCCGGAGAATTGCGGTATAAAGATGCGAGGCAGCTTTGTCGCGGCTGGAGCCGCTGGCGCGCCGACGGCAGCAAGCGCGTCTGGGTATGGACCTCGTAGTGCGTGAAGATCATCGATGTATCGACCCTTCTGCTCGTGGTACGCGAGGTCCGCCTTCAGCATCAAGTCGTCAGTTATATAGTCGTTGGCCTGAATTTCCTCTCCATAATCCATCATAATTTGCTTGTGGCAGTTCAGGAATCTGACCCAATAACCCTCGAGTGTCTGGAGACGAGCTTCCAGCATTCCGACCGTCATCTTTGCTGCGCCTGACTTCTTCATATTTTCGTACGACCGGGCGAGAAGTCGGTATAAGTCATGCTGCGCGAGCATCAGATCTTCCATGGGTTCAGCCATTGTCTTTGTTGCAGGTGTCTGCTGCCCGAAGAGTCCTCGTCGAACTTCACTGTCACTTCACTGCACTTGAAAAAAACCGACGCCGGCGACGCGGAATCCGGCTCGAAGGACCAGCGAAATGTTCGCGAGCAGACTTGTAGCGCAAATGAGGTGCAGTAAAGAGAGAGAATTTTACGAGAGTTGGATAGGGCGACTGCCCAACAAATAAATTGAGTCGGTCTCAAGATAACTTGCACCTTTATTTTCACTACTCGGCTAACGCAAGCGATTATAACAATTATTTCAATTCCGGAGTTAATAATTATTATGCCCCGACGTCTCTCGCCGGCGAAAATCGTATCAGAAATCAAATCGATGTCCAAAGGGTAGCCGTGTCCGTAATAATTTTTGCGTGTACAAATTCTCGTTTATCTCGTCAATTATCGAAAGGCGACTGCGAATCGCGCTTAACTTTTGCGCCTTATAAGGACACTGATCCTTCTAGAAAGATTAGGCGGGAAAAACAATCCGACAATAAATTCTGTTATTTGGATCTTTTTAGAAGGAACGAAAAGGTACGTGTTAAACAAATATTTATCACGGCTGGCGGTATACAATGGCCCGAACGGACGCGTTCGCTGGCCGTTGCGCTGCGGCTTAGTGACAGCCGTCTCTCTCTTTCCCGCTAGCGCGCGTCGGCTCGCAGCTAGAGCGGGAAAGAGAGAGGCACTATTTCGTGCTCTTGTTCTTTTTTTCGCGCTGATCAGAACATTATTAAACTAAAATAAAAAGAAATAATTTTAATTGAAATTATAATTTTTTATTTTACAGATGCTTACACTATTTTAATTCGGAATACAAGTTGCAGACGCATACTGTAGACTGTGGAAAATTGAATGACTGCGCTATCCGGTTATCGAGCGATAAAGACAAGTGGCTCAGCTTCGACAACTACAACAGAAAGGAGCGGCTTCCGTTCGTGGTGTACGTCGACCTGGAATGCGTTTTGAGAAAGATGGAAGAAGAAAAAACTTATCAACATCATCAAGTATTTAGTTTAGCTTATTATGTACATTGCTCGTACGACAATTCATTATCTACTTATAATTCTCGCCGTAGTGTCGATTGCGTGGCGTGGTTTGCCGAAGAACTAAAAAATTTAGCAGTACGTATAAAAAATATTTTAAGTACAAACGTCCTCATGGTAAATTTAACATCTGACGAGTGGGCAAAATTTTGCAACGCAACGCATTGTCATATATGCGAAAAACCGTTTGAGCAAGACGATGCACGCGTTTGCGATCATTGCCATCTCACCGAACGGTACAGAGGTCCCGCGCACTTAAATTGCAATTTAAATTATAAAGAATCTTTTTGTATTCTGGTAGTTTTTTATAATCTGTCCGGTTACGACGCGCATTTTATTATCGAGGACATAGCCACAGCGTTCGAAGGGGAAATCGAATTACTCCCGATAACGAAAGAAAAATACATTTTATTCTCGAAAACTGTTAGATTGACGCAAGACAACAATTCAAAAAATCAATTAAATTACGTTTGATAGACTCATATAAATTTCTCAGTGCTAGTCTTGACAAATTGGCGTTTTTTCTGAATAAAGACAAATTAAAAATTTCACAATCACAGTTTCAAAATTTACCTAGTAAAAAATTCAATTTTTTGACACGGAAAGGCGTTTTTTCATATGAATATATAGACTGTATCGACAAATTGCAAGATGCATGTTTACCGCCGCGCGAATCATTTTACAGTTCTTTGTCAACCATTGCCGATTTTCGATGTATCGAATTTTGACATCTCATCTATCGTACTCGATTCGCTTACAGGTTATATCCTCGAAGTAGATTTAGAGTATCCGCAACATCTTCATGATACACACATTGATGTACCGTTTTGTCCGACACGCGACAAGCCGTCTGGCAAGCGCGTATAAGTTCCTCGCAACGCTTTACGATAAGAAGCGTTACGTGATACACTACCGCAACTTGCAGCAGTGCATGCGTCACGGGCTTCGCGTTACAAAAATATGCCGCATACTACAATTTACTCAATCCGCATGGCTTAAAAATTATATTGAACTTAATACAGAGTTTAGAACACAAGCAAAAAATAATTTTGAAAAAAATTTATATAAATTAACGAATAATGCGGTATTTGGCAAAACGATGGAAAATGTGCGTAATCATGTGGATGTAAAATTATTAACAAAGTGGGACGGACGATATCGCGAAACCAAATTTTCATAGTACAAGCATATTTTCGGAAAAGTTGGTTGCCATAGAATTACGAAAACTCGAGGTAAAACTATAAACCAATCTATGTCGGCATGTGCATACTCGACATATCGAAAGTATGTCTTTATGAATTTTATCATGAATACATGTCACCGCTTTATCGTGACAAATGCCGGATAATGTACACCGACACAGACAGTTTAATATACCACATTGAATGTGAAAACGTCTATAAAAATTTGAAGCGTAATATCGCTCGATTCGATACAAGCAATTACGCTGTGGACAATGCGTACGGTATACCGCTTGAGAATAAAAAAGTGCCGGGTCTGATGAAAGATGAAAATAACGGTGCGATAATGACCAAATTCGTGGGGCTTAGAGCAAAAATGTATGTTTTGCGGGTGGATGATAAAAAAGACACTAAAAAAGCAAAAGGTGTCAAAAGTAACGTTGCAACGCGTAGTATTACATTCGACGATTATACGCGCTGCCTTAATGACGAGATTGAAATGGTGCGAAAACAATCTTGCATAAGATCGAAATTGCATAAAGTGTCTATCATCCGCGACACGAAAATTGCTCTAAATCTCTACGACGACAAGCGGTATGTCGTACCTGATTCGACCATCGACATATAGAATGGACTGAGCATTGCGATATGTAAACGCGCGCCTGCTTTAGAGTGAGAGGTACTACATCTGAGGCCTATGTTTGTCTCTCTTGCAAGCTTCTGATTTGTTATTTCGTCCCCCTCCAGAATTCTAGCAGTAACATAGCATTAAATTTTTGACACCTCACCTTCGCCTACTCGCTTTGGAATAACGTGAAACGTTTATCTTTATCTTTAAAAATTAAAAAATGGTTTTAAGGTGTTTTGTGTGCAAAATTACGTATGATAAAAATAAAAAGGATATACAGATGCATAAGTAAGTACATTAAAAGTATTTTTTATAGGACATTATTGTAACACATTCTTTAAACATATTGTTTTAAAGCTGTATATAATTATATTATATATACGTAACTTGCACAGTTTTGTTAAATATATATTAAAATTATATATTATATAATAAAATTAAGATATGTAATAGTATGTAATAAAAATTGTGTAAAGTAAAATTATAAAAAGTTAGGTTAGATAATGCGTTTTACAAATAAGAGATATTTAGAACATTATTTTAAATATTTTGTAATATAATAATAATTGAATTATACAATATAAAGCTAGTAATACATTATCATTATAAATATACTAAATATATTAAAACAAATTTTAAAATAAATTCTAAAAAATCTATTGACTACACATTTCATAGAAAAATGCACATGGTCCGCAATTTTTTTAGACGGCCCTGCAAAAAGAGAGACAAACATAGGCCTCAGATGTAGTACTTCTCACTCTAAAGCAGGCGCGCGCTTACCCATCGCGATGCTCAGTCCATTCTATATGTCGATGGATTCGACCGACATTTTACCACAGGGACATTACCGAATACCGTTGTAAATAAACTATATTTAATATATGTATTTCACATTTTTTATAAATATTGTAAGAAAAGGATGTATTAAAATAAAAATTTAGTATATTTCAAATTCTTTATATATTTATTTTTTATATATGTTATACGTTGTATAATTTTTCTTTCTTATTTTGAATAATTAATAAATACAATCTGTATGAATTAAATTAATATTGTCCTTATGTATCCAAGAATTGTGTGAATTGTCAAATCCCAGCCATTTCACGTAAACCTCGTCACCTCTCCTGCGCAGTACTTTCTCCACGAGATACACGTTTGGATAATTTGCATGATGCAGTTCGTGCTCGTAAAACGCTCTAGCGATAGATTTCTTGCGATAATCCTTGAGTAGATAACTCACGGAATAAGTACGCTGCACTTTTACAATTATAACCACCTTGGTTGTCCAATTTGGTGTGTATCCCTTCTCGAAAAGTTATTTGTACTTGCTAATGCGTACCTGGTCACCTACTTTGAACTTTGCCGGACCCGCGATTTTTACATGATTGTACACGGTAGCCAAAAGTCTTTCAGCGATTGCGGGGGTAATGTCGGCAAGTCGCATACCAATCGTTCGATGCTTGCGTGCGTTGTAATCCGATACGAGGTGCGGCAGCATGTCGATCCACTTGTAAGTGCCATTCGGCGTAAACATCTTCTACATATCGTTTTTTAGCGTGCGATTGAATCGCTCGACGATCGACGCCTTCAATACCAAATATGTAGAATAGCGATTAATGTCATGTTTTCTTATAAGCCGTTGCACATCGGGGTTGTAAAATTTCTTCCCGTTATCGGTTTGTATGTTTTTCGGACATCTCTTGCTATCTCGAATTATCTCGGCGATTGCGTCAGCTGTCTTGCTTCCTCTTTTACTCTTGAGTGGTACAGCCCACGCATATTTGCTTAACACATCGATGACGGTGAGTATGTAGTGATAATCTTTGTTGAAACGGGAGTACGGACGCATCTCGACAATGTAGGCTTGTCACAGATCGTCGTATCCTCGCACTATGACATGTCTTTGAGGGAAATTTTTTCTTGCTGGAGCATACAATTCGTCTACCAACTGCCGTCTCTTTAAACTATGTCGCTGCGTCGCTTCGTTGATTTTATCCGGTGGCTGGTTGTTGTTCTTTTTAATATTCATTTTAGTTTTTCTCGTTCTTGCCTCGTTCTTCGCGTTCTTGCCTCGTTCTTTCGGGTTAGATTCTCGTTCTTTCGGGTTTTTGCCTCGTTCTTCGCGTTAGGTAGTCGTTATAGCGTTGTTCACTTCCATCCTTGACCCATTCAAAAATCGTCTTTGACTCGTTTGCAGTCTTTTTTACAGTTGTTTCTGATCCGTTCGTAGCCGCTTTTGAATCGATCGTAGTCGTCCCTGACCCGTTCGCAACCCTTACTGAGTTGTTGATAGCCTCGTATGTAACCTTCAAGGACTTGTTTGTAGCCTCGTTCGCAGTCCTGCTTGACATGTTCGTAACCTCGATCGTAGCGATTGCGTTCACCGCCGTTTCCGGGTCGTTCACTGCTGCTTCCGGGTCGTTCACTGCTGCTTCCGGATAGTTCATTGTTGCCACTCATTTTTGTTTGGTAGCACGTCGATGATCTTTCGTAGCTGTTCTAGAACCTTCCATAACCACTCGAGAATCCCTTCTAACCATACAACTATTTTATAAATGTTTCTGAGTTGTTCACAGCCGCTCATTCAGATTGATAGTCGTTTCTGAATTAGCGTTAGCCGCGCGATGAAGTTCGTTTATCGCAGTCTGTAATGCTCGCACGTCTTTCTCCAACGTAGTCAGTTTCTCGTCTGATTCTTTTTGTTGATCTATCAATCTTTTAATACAGG